AAGGAAATTGAAGAAAGCGAATTTTTAATTCAATAGTTTTTCTCATAATTCAATAGTTTTTCTCATCTACCAGTTCACTCAGAATCAGTAAAGTTTTCTCATCTGGAATCTCTCATGCCTATAGAAAAAAAGTGTTCAACTGGCGTTCCTCTAATCTTTTTTATCTATTATCTCCTTCCTTGCTATCTTTCATAATTCTGTTAGTTACGAAGTTATGCATCCCTTTTAGACATACTGAATTGTATTGTTTAATATTTTAATTTACCATGTCTCTTCTGTTTTGAGTGAACTTCTTCCTGCAAACTTTCAATACTTCATTAATGGCATAAATAATCTATTCTGCTGAACAACAAGACCAGGTGCTTTCATCTTTGATGTTCTAAGCTTTCAAAAGGGGTCGCTTAATTTATAACAGTTCAGAATTGAGTATCCTGTGGAGTTTTTGTAAAGTCGTAGCCTATTTAAGAAGGTATTTTGCTTTATTGAAAGCATAAATCAATTCAAATTGAAAGCTTCACATTCTTATCTGAAAATCAATTTAGGTTATTATATAAAAACACAGGATGCCAAGAAAACTTTGGAAACAGTTTCAATATATAACTACACATGTCGACCTGGTGACAACTTGAAGACACAAAGATAAGTCATGAAATGAGTTATCAGCATGAGCTTTAGAAAGATTAAGGTGAGTGCATTAAAAAGTCACAGGTTTTAGGCATAGTAGATACATTATTCCTGACACAGCCACTATATTGAATAAACCATTATACTGATTATTAGGTTGTAATAGGTATTATATTAGTATATGAACTGTATGTGGCTTACTGGATTTACCTTTTTTTACCAATATAAATATCTGAAGATAACACTATGCTAAATATAAGTGAAGATTTCAAGTGCTATGATGTTACAAATATGTATATGCTATATGCTGTTATTGAATGTTGTAAGTATCAGAATATCTAAAATTAATTTTTGATTACTGCATAAGCCACAATTGAAGCTTTCACACTTTCGTACCTCATGCATGACTTTGTATAATCCAATTTTTGACATTTTATTTTTAAGACATCTATTTGCAAATCTTTTTCCTAAAAAATTGTTCACACTGTGCCTTTGTAAACATCATTTCAGTATTTCTCCAGTTTCCCATTGAAAGGGAAGCCAATATTAAAAAATATGTCTGACATTATCATATCCTGAATGTTTTTCTAAACTTCTGTATTTGGTCCTTATAGTCTTAACTTTAAGACTTAAAAAGGTACTTTCTTCCTTGTTTAGCTTCTTTGAGTCTGTAGAATGTAGCATGGATATCCTGTATTTTATGGTTAATATCAATTCATGAGTGAGTACATATTATGCATGTTCCCAAAGGGGACAGGAACTTCACAGGAAGAACAACAGAGGCAATTAACCAGGAACGATAATAGTAATAACAATGATGATGATGATGATGATAAATATACTTTACTATGGAAATATACACAGATGAAACTACAAATTAAATGTTGAAAATGTTGATTACTTATTCCAATGTTTCTCTTTTTAAATATCAATCTTAATTCTGTATCTAATGAATTAGGTGTATATTTATTGAAACTTCTGAGGAGCCAGACATAAAACTGTATTGGTTATGCCCTCCAGCATATATGATATTCCAGCATAACGACATAGAAATAACTGGATGTAAATTCAAATGCTGAATACTGCTTTTAGTGAAGAATTTCTTCTAGACATATTCTCAGTTTGATTTCAGGTGTATACACGAAAGGAGAAGTAAATTACTTGTTATATACAAGATAGTATTTTAAATCAAACATGAAGGAACACTACCTAACACATATTTTAAAAATCGTATCTGAAATGTTTACAGAGTAGATTTAACAAAATTTTTTGAAAGTGTAGCATTCAGCAAAATTTCATTTCTTAGTTGTATTTAAATTAATTAGTAATAAAGTTAACAACTTTACTAATGCTGATATAGACTGTTTTCTTTTACACTTCAAGGAACCCACTGATATTAAGAAGTACCTCATTAAACTATTATGCTGTATTTAGGAATCTATTAATTTGTAAAAGACTGAATTAGTCTGCAAGTAAAAAAATATGTTACAAATGTACACTGACATTTGAGCTGAAATCAAAGGCTGGATGAGTATGATCAGCAGACTCAACTTGAAGCTTGTTTTCTGTACTAATGAGTCTCTGTCCATCTCTCTCTCAGGGAGACATTCCAATCACCCTACTTTACAGATGAGAAGACTGGACCACGGGTCAGCTTTTTTGTGAGCAATGGTGTTCTTTGCAAAAGAAATCACCTGTCCTTGAAAGGAAAATATACAGCATAATCATGGTGGCAATCCATAGTCCAGGTTGCAGAGCTAGAATTTAGAGGTACTAAGTTGTTAATAGTAGCTGTATTTTGAAATAGTTTAGTTTTGTTTTTATTAAGTCTATGTAGCCTTCTAGGAAATTTTGGTGTCTAGTAATATCAGTATTTCATAGTATACTTCAGTATTTAATAATATACTTACTTAGATTTTATGGCTCTAGTTACATATATAGAAGAGGCATTGACAGGAGGTGAGGCCCTTGGTCCTGTGAAGGCTTGATGACCCTGCATATGGAAATGCTAGAGAGGTGGGACAGGAGTCTGGGAAGCACCCTCTTCAAGGCAAAGGGGAGGAGGATGGGATGGGGGATTTGCAGAGGAGAGATTGGGAAGGGGGACAACATTTGAAGTGTAAATAAATAAAATAACCAATTACTAATGAAAATAAGATAAAATATTTTTGATATAACTGTGGTTGCATAATTTAAAATCATAGAACACAGAAGAGAATTTCTTGTTCCACAAAAATATAAGCAATGATTACAATGATGTTTTGACTTGGTGATCAACAATCTTTTCTTGGTTAAAAATACTTAATGTGTCTTGTACCTTCATTTCTGTTCCATTTTAATTAGCTGACAATTCAATTGTTGAAACTGAAATATTACTGCATGCATGGCTCATTTTCAATATCTTTTGCAGAAAAATAGGTAAAAATTTGTATCACATATATGACTATGTTGTATGACATTTCTGACTATTCACAAGGATGGAACTTTGGTCAAAGGTTTTCCATAATCTCCATACATTTTGAAGAGATATTTCGTTTTCTTAAATACTAGAAGAGTAAATTTAATTTGATGTTTAGTAAAGAATATTTTCAAGTACAAAAAAGAAAGATATGAAGTTTTACAAACTGAATCATTTAAAAGGAAAAAAAAATAGTTCTGTGAGTGTTTAGAAATAACTTTATGTCACCTGGACTTGAAAAAGCCTATTCTCCTCATTCCTAATCAAAGAAATACCCATTTTATGCGAGCATTCTCTCCTTAATGAGAGTTCCATGCAAAAATAAGTGTTGAAAAAAATTAAGAAAGTGATACCTTCTAAATGAGAAACATGTTACTCCAAGGAGATGTACTACATGCTAAAATGTAAAGACTTATTAGGGTGTTTGTTTGTTTTTGTTTGTTTTGAAAAACTTAAGGTTCATAGATAAAAAGAGCTACTTATTTTACTTCATGCACTTATTTTTCAGACTTAGAATCTTATTCAGTCTTGAGTAAAGTTTACTTTATGCAGCATTCCTTGGTTATTACATTTAGAGTGGAGTGTCCTCTCACTGCATAGTGGCTGGTATGTATTTTTATATTGTTAAATTTTATCCATTTGTCAACACAGTTTTAATGCAATATTCCCAAACTCATTTCAAACCAACATGTTGCTGTGGTTTCTGCTGAATTATATAGTAAAAGTAGCCAAAATATCGCTTAAGAAAACTTTTAAAATTAAAGATGAGGAGGAAACAATGTATTAAAGGAATGTTGATCCAAAGTAGATAAATGCAAAAAATGTGTGCTCTCAAAATAATGAATTAAATGATACATAGGTTTATAGTTAATTACATCTGTATATATTTTGTCGATTAGGTTGGGATGTTATTGAAGATGGGAGTTGTAATTCCTGAACCATATGCATCTTCCTGCCTGCCCCTGAGAGATTGCAATAAGTGTTTGCTGGCATGTGTGCAATTGAATAGAAAATACAAATAGCAATGGTTCTTTAGTCCTAAGACACTTAAACTAAATATTGTAAGCTTCCATAATTAGGTATTGTGAAATTAAATTAGAATAAAGACATTTAACTGCACTGCCTATAATTCAAAGCTTTGCAGTGGGAAATATAAAAGGAAGCATGTAACATCTAAATGAATATTATCCATCAGATCTGACATTTATTAAGCAATACCAGCATGCTGGGCACTGCCATAAACACAAACTCTTTTTAGTGAACTTAGATTTATCTCTGTTGGCTTTTTTTCCTCCTGAAATAGATGGATGTAATTTCCTGGCAGATGGTAAACAAATACAGGACGGTGATGTTACTTTTCAGTTTTTATAGGCTGTAGCTTAAATCAGCTCTTCTTTTACTGAGAATCCATCTCCTTACCCAGATACAACAGTCCAAATACATTCTCTTCCCTATTATGAGCATGCAATAGATTGACTTCATTAAGAACGACACATGAGTGCTATACTGTTGTGCTTTATGATCAAGCTATGTAATTTTGGTATGATATAAAACAGTAGCTAGATTTTTTTAAATTAAAAATTGAGTTGACCACAGTTCACTTTCAAGAGATGCTGCTAGATTTGAGTCAGAGAGACTGAAACCCAGGTGTTCTACACTACAGAAAATTTTGATAAAATTGTCTCTGGGAACATGATTTTCCTAAAAGAGTATTACAAAAGACAAATAACAATGTAAGTGATTTGATATTTCAATGAGATTTATTTATTTAAAGATGCTCCATTTGAAATGTATCTTACTAGTTTTATGTTATGGGTATTGCTTATAGGTCCACATTTAATATTAAACACTTATTTAATCAATTTGCTGTCTTGGTAAAACTGTTAATATTAAAGTTTATAACTATTGTTTTCAGCTCCATGGGAGAGTGTGAGCACAGTCCTCATTACCACAAATTATGAAGTTGAGTTTCCCACTTTGGGGGAAATCTCAGGGTCAGCACATCTAGAGTGAAATGGATAACCTTTCCTGGGAAAACCGCCTTCACAATCCTGTTATCTGTCCTGTCTTGTAACTATTAAACTTCTAACTTGCAGCATATCTTCTACAATGGAGTTTTCAGTTTTATTTAATTCATAATTTTAATTCTTTCCAGTGATTTTTATGTAAAATTAACTTTGTAAGCAAATCAATAGGAGGCTTGTTTCAATTACCTGAAAAAGAAAAATTGTGTGAGGATACTTGACTTTTGTCTTATGAGGAACAAGCTCATAAACTGCTTATAGGAAATGACTTGATGTGGAGTAAGGGGAGTTGGGAAGAGTGCTATGCAGCTGTCTCTTATTCACAGCTTCATTTTTAAGAATATATATATTCAAGAGGGAAATCCTAAGTTTAATTACTCAGAAGCCTTATTGTATTTCTTTTTATATATCCATATGGCATATTATGATTGCCAGAAAAATCTAAAAGTCTTTATTTTAATTACTGTCAGAATCAAAGCCAGATCCTAGAGAAAGTATCAAGGACAGATAGTAATATATTCTACAGGGAAAGAGTTCAGTATTGACTATTTTTGTCTACTTTTAACATCTTTCTCCATTACAGAGATGGGAATATGATCAAAAGTGGTAAGTGAGATTGTGGGACCGCTAGAACAGTTAAAAGGTCCAAAGGTAAGCCAAGCACAGTTGTTCCGTATGAAATAAAACTAGCTTTGTTAACAGGCACTCATCAACGTGAATCTGACCACTAAGAGACTGTGAGGTAACAGATAATGAATCCTGGCAGCATTTCATTGTCTTAGATAAGATATGAGGAGGCAGAAACTTAGCAAAAGAATTTGGTCCTGAATTATTAGAAATTATATTAGTAGTATTTGTGCAAGTCTTTTGAATCCAAGGTTGAGCCCAGGTAAAAAGAGAATCAATGGGCCACAGAGTCCTCTCAATTCCTGGGTTAACTTCTTTTGTTTCCTAAAGAATTATTTAATTTTTTTTTTTACCTGATAGGATATATATATATCCTATCGAAAGTAGACAGGTCAAAGTAGGTAGGTTTCAGGAATCTCTTTAATTTGATGAATTACATAATAAGGGATAAAAATGATCAGAAATGGGAAAAAAAAACAACTCTCATACAAAGACTGGTATTGCTTCATGTTGAAATATTCTGGCTAGTTTCCATTGGTGTAGTCTGCCTTTATTTATAAATATTGTAAAATATATATGACCCATTGATTACACTAAGCCTGAGTCACTTACTTGTCAGCTGTTAAACTAATTTACTCTTTTATGCTCCAATGATCGGGGGAAGTCTGCCAACTTCTTCTTTCAAATATCTCTTTTGGCCAAGACTTTTTCTTGTTTACATTGAATTGGAAATGTATGTTGTAAAAGCATATATTATATGTATTACACAAAACATCAATGAGCCTGAAATCAATGCCTTTCCATAATGGAAACCAGATGGTAATAATTCATAGGGCTAAGGTAAAGCTCAAATTTTGTGTGACATGAAAAATAAACTTATTGGACAACTTCATAAAGTTGAGTGAGTCAGTGTATTTGAACTCATTTTTCCCACCTCATTCCATATACAATGTCCTGTCCAGAAAAAATCAATCCATGTATTGACATGAATCACAACTATATAAAGCCTGCATATTAAAATCCAATATTAGTGTTACTTGTATATTCATTGTTTTAACTTTTATCGGGTTATTTTTTAGTTAGATTTTATTTTTTTAGTAAAATATGTAGAATTGGAAAAATAAAAACAAAAATAAGTCTTTCTGATAGAATATGTAGTCTTTTTTGAGGTAGGAAAGGGATCAATAATTTTAAGCATCATCAATATACTTCCATTTACACTTATGAAAATGGCATAATCTTTTAGTAATTAGGTAATTCTCTAGCTAAGTGCTTTTGGTACTTACTTTCTCTAGGATATTTGAGAATTATTAAGGATTTTAGAACAAAATATTTGAGAAATTGAATGTTAATATTTCTGTTCATTTTCTCCAGTGTCTAGACATCTGAATTTTCACATTGGGGTCACCAGGCCAATGAGACTATGATATCTTGTAGGTTTCTACTTTCTGTAGAGGCTACATCCCCATTTTTATGAATTGCTAAAGGTCTTCAAAGAAGACCCTAAAGAGAGAAACAGAGACTAAATTCGTGTAGTCTTCCTCAAACCTGGAAGGTAATGGCTTTCAAACTCTCATGATCAGAGAGAGAGAGAGAGAGAGAGAGAGAAAGAGAGAGAGAGAGAGAGAGAGAGAGAGAGAGAGAGAGAGAGAGAGAGAGAGAGGGAATTGAGGATTTGTGGTAAACATATTCCCAGAGTTTACCACTATACAAAAGTATATTTGCAGAATAAAATTTGGTGTACACTTACATATACACACTAGCATGTTTCCATGAAGCCACCAAAGGAAGTGGTAAGAAAGCTATGATCTCATTACCATAGATTAGGCGGCATTAAGCTAGTTCAACTGAGATGGACGACAAAAAGGACAAAATACAGGTGACTTCAGATGAAACAGAAGGATAAAATTACATATGATAAGGTTAATACGAAAATCAACAGAAGGTACTAATGTGTTCTACTCTTAGAAACAAATTTATTGTTTTGATTTGAAATTTATTACAAGATGTATCTATTACTGGTTTGTTATTTTTTAATTAAATAATTAATTAACAACCTAGATACTGCTCTTCCAGATTCCCTAGCCCCGTCTCTGCTCCCCTTCTCCTCTTGAGATTGGGCCTTTTCATGAGTATCTCCTCACGCTGGCACATCAATTTCTTCTAGATTAGGCTCATCCTCTCCTACTGCAGCCTGACAAGACACACATGGAGGCTCATCTGCACATCTGCTACACATGTGCTGGGGCCCTAGGTCCAGCCCCTGTATGTTCTTTGGTTGGTGGTTCTGTGTCTGAGAGCTCCCAGGGGTCCAGGTTAGTTGATTCTGTTCGTCTTCCTATGGGATTCTCATCCCGTTCAGGGCCTTCAATTCTTCCCCCAACTCTCCTATAATTGTCCTGGACCTCCATCTAATGTTTGCCTGTCTGTATCTGCACCTGTTTTAGTCAGCTGCTGTGTAGCGCCTATCAAAGGATAGATATGCTAGGCTCCTGTAGGCAAAGGCATTTGGTATAGCTCCTGCTCTAGTTGTTTGGGACCCACATATAGATTTCTGTGAATTCGGAAGTCAGGAACAAATATGAAACTGAGTATTATAAAATATAGTATATGGAGTTTTCATCATGTACCTTTTTGGTTTGTTTTGTGTGCTGAAATTACCAAAGCCATCATGAGTGAAGTACGTACAAAGCAAGCCTTCAAACAGAGAGGTAAAATCTAGCCTGATATTTTATTCAATTGTCTAATATTAATTTCTTGATTAAGTACATTTTAAAAAGGAGCAGTGACTTCATGTGAAGAATTGATACAGCTTCAATGTTTTATTTAAAAAATGATATTTTTAGTATCTAGCATTGAGTTTCTTCGGAATATGTTAACATGGTATTATAAGAGAGCAGACATCTACCTGAAAATAGAATAAGTACAATGTTGCCTTTACCTGTAAATAATACTGTCTATCATGAAATATTATTTGGCCTCCTTCTTAACATAATCACAAATACAACCATCATTTTATTGATATTTAAGATCCCATGCAATTTATTTTCCATATAAAAGTCTGGCAAACAATTACTGTGTAATGAGCTGGATTTTTATCTTAGGATAATAACCTCTTACTAATCACATTTTTTCCTTCATTTTCTAAGACAGTGTCTCGGCATGTAACTCAAGCTAGTCTGTATCTCATGGACTTCTGTGTGTCCTGACACCCACAGCAACCCATCTTCCATGGTATCTCAAGCACATGAATTACAAATGTCAATGCTCAGACCATGTTTAACCCACATCTTTAACAAAGAACATCAAGATCCAAAAAGAATTTTGCAAACTGTCTTTGCTATTATTCCCCTTACCCGAATAAATAACCCCCAAGCCCTCATTGCCACATCACTACATAGTTACACAAGTATTGACTAGCAAGCAAGATCAGATAGCTACTATTGCTATCACAAAAAGCCTCGAAGCACCACATTCTCCCAGTGGGATGGATGGTATACCACTTTTTTGTCCTTTCTTTTCTTTTTTTTAATTGAATATTTAATTTATTTACATTTCAGATGTCATCCCGGTTCCCCATTCCCCCTCCCTAGAACCTCCCTATCCCATCCTTCCTACTCCTTTTTGCTTTTATACCATTTTAATTAAATGCAAGTATTAAGGTCAGATCTAGGTTGAAGGACTAGCAATACAATAGATGCAAATAGTCAGGTACAAGCAAGACAATGAACACAAATAGTCAAAGAATAAGCAAGGCAATAAACAAAATTCCATGAACACTCCCATAATCACTGTTTCTAAGGGCTTATCAGGACGTCCAAAATATCTGAGCCAACTTCTCTGTCCTAGCCCAAAGTCATTTTCATGTCTGAAGCTTACTTCCTTGCTCTAGCCTAAAGTTTGGGAAAGGGGATAACATCTGAAATGTAGATAAAGTATTAAGTAATAGAAAAATTAAAAAGAAATAAAAAAGAAAACAAATACTCATGGCTCTTTCTTACCACTTGATCAAGATAAAGCATTTTGCCTTTCTATCTTCCTTCCAGACAGAAGACTTTTATGCTATCTCCCAGTTGCTTTCTACTTTGTCAAATTTGTGAAGAACTTCCTGTCTTCTGGGATTTTTCTTTCCCCAAATCTCCAAGCTCTTCTTATGCCTAGCAAATATTTTCTTAGTGCCCTGTAAAATTTCTCTTGTTAAGCACACATTAAGCCTTTACTCGGGGACAAGAGCCATTCTTGTCACCAGAGCCTAGAAAACTCCCAGAAATCACCCTTGAAAGTAACTATCCTGTTACCAAGTGGGATAAAGCTGCAGAAAAAAAAAAAAAACCTTTTAGTTAATGTTTCTCTTCCTTTAGTCTGCTATGCATTTCCATTGTTTTTCTATAACTGTCTCCATTTTCCCACGTGACAATATAAGTACT